CAACCCAATACCTTGATTAGAGCCATTTAAATTCCGGGCAAGGGGGGGAGCCGAGCAGGTCCCCAGCGCTCATCTTGGCCTTGTCCTGCACTTGGGAAAGGATGCGACCTTGGCAGGGATGATGGAGAGCATCATCTGCGGCCCTCTTCCTCCCTCTTTCCCTCCCTAGGGTGCCTTCCACGCCACCTTGGCCCACTTTCCTTTCTTTCCCCCTCTCTAATACGGCTTCCTCGTTTAATTTAATTTTAATTTACTTACTTATTTACTTACTTACTTGCACCCCGCCTTTCTTCCCAAAGGGACTCGTTGTTAAAACGACCGTCATTAAAAGCCCCCCAAATGTATCAGGATGTAAACTATATATATATATAAAATAATAGTTACAAAAGAATAGTTACAACAATAGCTAATATATATTGCTTTTATATACAACCGCCAACTTGTAACATTGTTTTTATATACAACCACCAACTTGGATTTTCAAATGTTTTTTTTGCCTGTTTGGGCTTTATTTCGAGTTCTGCTGCACGGCGTTAGGATTATTTTAGGATTATTTTATTGCTGTTGTGTGTGTGTGGTTTTTTTAATGCTGCGAACGTACCCTGAGTGGCCTTTGGCCAGAGGGGGGTGGTATATAAAAAAAATCAAATAAGTGCATAAAACAATTTTTAAAAATATATATATAAAGAAGTGATGGCTGGTCAACTAAGGCAAAGGGAGAGAAAGGTCTTAAGAAAAATGTCATTTTTGGGCCCCGGGGGGGGATGAGAGGTTTAATTTTAAGACTATTAGAGGGATGCCCCACCAGCCCCTTCCCACCCCCATTCTCCTACGATTTCGTGGCTTTGGCTGCTCCACCCACCCACCCCGTCACCCCGATTCGGGAGGAGGACCACGGGGGGGGGCACCCCTCTCGTGTCCCCCATTCGGGAGGCCGAGACCCACCTGCCTTGCTTAAAACCTTTCCCGTTGGCTACTCTTGCAAAGCCCCACCATTAATTCCATTTTTTTATTTTTATTTTTTAGGGGATCCGGGACCCTTCCTTCTTTCCTGCACAAAGAGCCACTTTTTTGGCCACGGAGACGTGGAGAGCCAGCCGAGCATGGAGGAGAAAGCTAAAAAGAGGCCCACAGATTCCTCCTTCTCGTGGTGTGTGTTTATTTGCTTGGATTTCTCCTGGCTGCTGAATTATGCCTCTCCCGGCAGCGCTTTCTCTCTCCTTCTTGAAAGGGGCCATTGTGCTCGGTGGTGGCGCATAATAGGTATTTGTTGAGCTTGTTCCTGTCAAAGGGGGGGGGGAGAACACGTCCTTAGTTTTGCCTCTGCTTCTCCGTGGCTAAAACAAAACAAAAAACCCTCTAGGTTTTCATCTGGTATTATCCAGTTCAATACATGGGTAAGATATAGGTTTGATTCCCCCCCCCATGTGGTGTCGTGGATAGCGTGACTCTGGAGAACAGGATTTGGATCCCCGCTGGGCCGTCGGAAACTCACTGGGGGAGGGGAACGGGTCAAACTGCTCCTTAAAGCGAATCAGCGGATACCGATCCCGCGGATACGGGGTATGTGTGTGTGTATTTCCTGCTGAATCTTTGCTAGGTGAAAGGGGCTCGTCGGTATCTGGCGGACGCTGTTTTGCTTTTAGTTCGGAAACAACTGCCGTACGCCTACCGAGAAGAAAAATCGCAAGACGCGGAAGTGAAGGTTGATTTTTGCAGTGGGCCGAGAGTATGCGCTGCTGGGTGTCTAAATCGAATTCGTGTTTTTCTCTGTCCTTTCTGGGTTCCCGAACACGCTTGGTTAAAAACACATGGCTCACGGAGAGGATTGAGGTCTCCGGCTGCGGAGCCGGTCATTGGGAGTTTGAATCCCCCACGGGGCTGGACTGGATGATCACATAGGGTCCCTTCCGGTTCTGCAGTTGTGAGAGGATGCTGGTGGTGATGGTGGTGATCTGGGGTCCCAAAGGACTTCTCCAAATAGCCTGGTTTCCGTTAAGAAGCCAAACGGGCCGGTGGAGTACATTCTGGACTCCGGTACGTGAGCGGCTCTTCTGCTCCATCCAAGTACAGGAGCACTTAAAAAATGACGTCTCCCTTACACGCTGCTTCGGTAATCGGAAGGCTCGTCTGTTTCCTGCTTTCCAGAAGGCCTTTTTGTGCACCGTGGTGCGGATGGATTCCCCGGCTCCTTGCCAAGGTTTTGTCTTGTGACCTGAGTAATGGACGGGCCGCGATAGGCTTTTACCTTCGCTGGCTGAAATATTAAAGAGCCGCGGAGGTTGGATTTAGTAAACAGAATTGCTTTTATTTTAATTTTTTCCTGTCGAAGCAGTTCCTATTTTATGGTTTATTATCTGAGTGTTAAGTTACCTCTCCGTGGATACTGGTCCCCCTCTATTCGGCACCGGTTAGGCCTCCTCCTCTGGAGTCCTGTGTCCAATTCCGGACACCACATTTGAAGAAGGATGATGACAGATTGGAGCAGAAAAAAGGGGGGCAAATTGTTTCTGTGAGTTTACCGTTGGTAAACGTAACACCTGGATTTCGCCTCCATCATCCCTTATGATCAGGATTTTGCTTTGGGTGAACATCAAGCCGGTGCTTAATAAACAGGCTCAGTGGAGTCTGGATCTCCCCCGATTTTTTCTCATCCTCGTTTCCTGAGTGACAAGGATTTTGACGAGCGTTTCTGTAGCAAACCGAGCGCTTTGCCTGTTTTTTCCCTCTCTCTCTCTCTCTTTCCAGTGAGATCATTTGCAAAATATGCTTCTCAGCTTCCTTCAAGGCCTATCGCAGCCCGTCAGTTACAACTGCTCATTTGCCTGGAATTGTGATTCATAAGCCAAGACTCTGTCTGCTTCTAAAAAAAAAAGTATATTGTTAAAGGAAAATCAGGGAGAGAAAAAAACCCCACATGTAGATGTTTTGGGGACCATGCATAAATTTGTTAAGAATTAGTAAAATGTAGGAGACATTGTGTTCTGCCGTGCAGCTGATTTCTGTGGAAATAGTCTGAGATGGGAAGGATATTTTATTGACTGTTGCAATCATTGTTTACCAATGTGTCCATGGGCGATGTGATTTAGATTCGTAGGAATTTGAACCCAGAGCCTGACTGCCACAAATCGAATATTCTTTGACCATGTGAATGTGCATCCTTACTTCCCAGTCATCCAGTCAACACAAGACATAGAGAATGTCGTCGCAACTTACGATGAAACCCCATCCCTTAAAAATGCTGGTGCCTAGGTCTTCCGCCCTAAATGAGTATTTTGTCAGGACTTCTCAAGAGGAAGGATAGAAAGGACATACAGTAGTTCCAAAAAAACATCAATGCTGAAAACCACAGATAATAATGTCTGCTATACATAGCATGGTAAAAGAAAAAATCCAGAAATATGTATTTTCACCTTGTATTACCAGGACTGGCCACTAGAGAGAGCCAAAGACCATGCTATGTATTCTTCATCAGCAAGAACTGTAGCTAGGCCTAACTTCCTGTTCCTGCCCCAATGCTAGCTGGGAGTTTTCTTTCGGAACAGGAAGTCAGGCCGAGCTAGGCCTTAAAACCGTCCACTTAAGGCCTTTCTCCCAGGCGAGCTGAATTGAGTTGTCCGTAGGGTGTCTTCTCTGTGAGGCAGAACTCACAGAATGGAGAATGATGGAGGATTTCCCCTAATTTTCATCCTTTCCCAAGAAACCACTGCTTTTCTTTTG